ATTTTTCTGCGTGGCGAACTTTTCTAGACGCCTTGTACAATTGCAAAGTCAAAACCTCTAGGAAAATCGGCAACACCGCATTTTTTAAATCAATTTCTATTGCCTATAACCGGATAAATTTTGAGTTTTTCGCCCATACAACTTCCTCTAAACATTTAAAGAAGGTTTCATTGAAAAATCCTTCAAACCACAATTGTTTTTAATGGCAACATTGCATTTTTTGACATTTTCCAAACCTAGGTGAAGTTGGACACATTTTTGGCTCTGACAGTGACATATGTCAAATCAACCCTTGCGCGGTTTTCTGTGGGTTGAACTTTTCCGGACCACCTGCGCAACTTTAAAGTGAAAACATCTAGGAAAATCGAGTTTTTCGCTTGGCAACGCCGCAATATTTCGACTCATTTTCGTTACTTGTACATTATGGAAAACAAATTCTGGAAAACTGCCATTTTCCACTGGAAGAACTTTGAGTTTTGCCCAATTTCAGCTAGAAGCACTAACTGCTCTGGAAACTTTCCGCCGGAAAATCGCCGATAATCCACAAGATTGATTGGCAACGCCGCAGATTTGTACATTTTGAAACTCCTTAGGGCATTTAGAGGATTTTCGCCAAAACAATGTCAAGCCTCAATGGGGGTTTTCTGCGGTTTTCTAGCTGTTGAACATTTAAGAACCGCTTTGGCAACGTCCAACTGGAAACATCCCCAAAAATCGACCATTTTGATATACAACATGGCAATATTTTCATCTCAGGTTGTTGCTAATGAACAAAGGAAGACTTTTGTTCAAAAATCCTTATCCTGGAGTGAACAAAGTTCCAGTTTTTGGCTAAGCAACTTTCTCCAGAACATTCCACTCGAAAATCCTGGGAAACTGGATTATTTTCGCTCTGCAACACCGCGTTTTTTGGCATTTTCCGAATCTTTATGAAGTTTGACACGTTTTTGGTGCTGGAAGTGACAGCTGTCAAATAAACCCTTGTGTGGTTTTCTGGGTGAAGAACTTTGCCCAGCTGCTCGTGCAACCTGAGAGTGAAAACATATTCAAAAACCGGGATTTTTGCATGGCAACACCGCACTATTGCACCTTTTTTCGAATCACCATGAAATTTCCTAGAAGTTTCCTCAAATGATCGCCACTGCAAACCGAGCTTTTGGGAGGTTTTTCTGGAGGAAGAACTTTTTTGCACAGTTCAACTGGAAACACCCAGAAAAATCGAGCTTTTGCACGGCAACGCCGCAATTTTCTGCTGAATTTCGGCTTCTGGTAAACTTACCAGGGATTTTGGGTAAAAATGCCCATGAAAAGCCGCACGCGTTTTGCGGCTCGCAGGCTTGCAAGATTTCCTTGGGGAGTTTAGGGACATACTGCTGAAAATGCGCTGCAAACTCGAAAAAATCAGCGGCAACCCTGCTTTTTTGGAGCATTTTCGCATTCTCGTTGAAAAATTGAAGATTTTTCTTCAAACAGGGTGAAGCGAAAAAGGAGTTTTCTCGCTGTTAAACATCTAAATACTTCAGGGACTGTCACTTGGGGGAAAACGGGAGGTTTTTGAAAAATGATCAAGTTGTACAAACATTCAGTACATCGATCGAGCCTCGTTCAATCTCGCACGCTAATCGGTCGCACTCAAATCGCACATGAATCGTTTCGCTCGGCTAAAAACGCAAATTAATAACCATTAGGAACGATCCAGATGCGAGAAACGTTCGGACGATTGATGCGCTCGCCATTTATTTAAAAAGTTGTTTAGAAAATGGCCTAAATCAAATCGAAAATCGACGAAAAAACGATCGTAAATCGAAGCCAAAGCCAGCGGCGATGTATTTTCGTACACTTTATGCGTTAATTAAAATAAAACGGTTTCGTGTACGATTTAATCCCAATTTACTGCCCCCCGAAAAAATCGAAATTTGCATAAATTCAGTTTGCGAGAAATCCGGGTTTGTTCCGCGGACCGAGAGAGCGATCGATTTCCCATCGTTCAACCTGCAAAAACTCCCCGAAAGTGCACTGTTGCCAA